TGTTGCTCCAGCTATTCCTGCATAAGATCAATAATATCTCTCTCTCTCTCTTTATTCTCTCTAACTTGCTCGTCCTTACTAGCTCGAGGCTACTCTTAGCGTTATTAGTTTCATACTTGTTCTTCATGTATTGCTTGGTATCGGCCCTAAATAGCCCTGTTTAATCATATCTTAACTGTTATCCCATTCCCGACTGCCCCCGACAGCTCGAGATCAAGCTGGATATTGGCCCCAAAGCTTCTTCATCGACCAACCAGAGGCACGGCGGCAAGCTCCTGAGTTTTATTACTACCCTGTTTTAGCTTGTATCTCTTCATTAAACTTCATACTCTTAGCATCAACTGCTCTAACAACTAGCCTAAAAATAGATCACATATTTTTAGAATTCTATTTACAAATTTAATTGTTGTTACCATTTTTACGGTAAATAGTTTGGCGCCCACCGTGGGGCTAAAAATAATAGTGATTATTTTCTTGTTGGTTTCATTACACAAACGCAAGTTATCTTTCACACTTTTTCTTGTCCAAGATCTTTTGATTTCAGGTCAAAATGTCTGGCTCGTTAAATGGGGTTCAGAACCACTACCACGAAAATCACAGAGAAAATAGTATGGTTGTTCCAGTCGTTGGCGTGCCACCGCAAAACCCCGATAATGCACCCGGACCCATTCCAGCAGATATGGTTTCGCAAGACGTGCAGCAGGTCAACGAAACCTCGCGCACCAATGGAAGCATACAACATGGCGATCAACAGGAAGCCCAAAGACCCCAGCCCGGGATGAATAGGAAGTTAGTCTTCATATTATTTTTGAAATGTTGCAGGCACAACAGTTGGCCATCTCTCGGTTACAAAGACATCTGAAGACTCCCAGCACAGCAGCATCGAAAATAGCTCCCCCCGCCCAGCAAGTACCCAAGAGATCAAGCAATAACGGATCGGTAGCCGACCTTGCCATAACAAAGATGCTTGGGGATCTCTCTAAAAGGATCCTAGGTTCTTACTTTTAAATTTGTTTGCTCTACTAATTAGAAATAATGTTTATAAGGTTCTATATCTTGTCACGTCTAGAAACCATGCCTATAGGATTCGGATAATTTCGTAATAAAAATCATGCTTTCAATGTCTAAAAAAATCGGATTAACTTATAGATGTCATGCCTATACGACTTAATTCAGATTCTGGTGCAACGAGTGTTATGTATGTTTCTATGCCTATAAATCGTTAAAATCAGTATTACACTTAGATATCATGCCTATAGGGAATCATATTCGAAATTCTGCCTTTTAATCTAATTTAGTCTAAATAAGTCAACTTGATCACGCCCAGTTCATTTCTGAATTGATTTTATTAAGTATTAAGTATTTCCTAAAACAACTTCTTTCAAACTGCCTCAATCTCATTAGATATCATGCCTATAGGTATTAAAGAAGTCCGTTTCAAAACCTGCTTTGTTTATGTATTAATATAGACCTCAGTACTTCGCGTATAGGCAAGCCCTTATGGCGTTTTCAAAACTGCATCTCTGAAACTGTCTCTATTGCTTAATGTTTTCTGATCTTAACAGGCTTTAAAAATCCATAGGCAACTACTAGGGTTATAACTTATGAGTCTAAAAGAGGTTGTTTGTCTTTTACATATTCACCTAGATATCCTGCCTTAAACATTGTCTAATAAGAGACCTTAACTATGCTTGACTCGTGTTGCTTATGTGTTTGTTTGAGGAGGAAACTTTGAGCCTCTAATTGCTCCCTTTATGTGTTGAAAGTCCTAAGTGTTTTTGATTGTCGCCTTAGAATTTTCGGATTTTAAAACCTTAAGGGTCCGTCTAGAACCACCTATAGGTAGAGGCCCTAACTCCCTCCAGGACCGTTAAGAAGGGACGAGTAGCAGCACGCAATAGAAATCGTTGACCAAACACTCACTTTGCATGACCAATAAGGGGATGGGAATGGTAGATATGAGATATGATGATTGCGTGCTAATGTCACGTGTATCCCCTCATTGAGGAGTGTTTACCGGACATTGTGTGGGCTGATCCTATAGGATAACCAACCTAGGACCCCTCTTTATCAAATTTCTTTTTATTTAAACCTTTGTTTTACAACTTGTCCAAATATTTACTACTTGAATTATCCCAACGTGCTTTGCCTGCGACATATTTAATTCAATTATTTACTTGTAATAGACTAATTTGTGAATATAAGTTCGGCCGAGACTCGCAGTTGTAGACCAAGAGGAGTGCCTAATACCTTTCCCTCGAGGTTACTTCGAGCCCTTACCCTAATCTCTGGTAATGCAAACCAACCCAAGAGTTAATCGCTCTAGGTGCCCTAGCGCACCATAATCCGTTAGGTCGACTCTTCCAATACCAAATTCCCAAAAGGAAATGAGTCATTATATCCCGTGAATGTCGAAACCCGGACTTCCCCGTCAAAAGAGGAAAAAAGGGGGCGCGACAATGTGGATTTATTTGTTTCCTACTGCTCAATCTCTATTTACTTTTATTACTTACTAAGTTGGCATACTCATATTACTCCCTGCACCTTGTGTGCAGATTCGGGTATTTATGAACCTGGTAGCGGATGTTGATTACTCAGGTTCATCGGAGTTAGCAAGGTAGCGGCAATTGCAGCCCTGTTTTTCTCCCTCCTTATTCTCCCTTAGTGTATCTTTGTGATTGTCCCGGCCATGTTGGTATTGATGTTGCCAAACAGCTATAATAGATGCTCATGACTAGTGACACCCCGATATCGGGTTTTCTTTCCGTATTGTTCTTTTGTTTTAAACACTTTGTAAAGATTTATTGTTAAATAGAATTGATCTTATCCTAAGAGTGAAATATTAATTGGTTTGGGGATTGTGTCGACTGGCCTAGTTCCATGATAGGTGCCATCACGACCCAGTTGGTTTTGGGGTCGTGACACTTCCTTGGACATGGATCTTGTCCGAAGCATTTATATTGAGGTATGGATCTTCCCTGGACATGGATCAAGTCCAAAGCATTTATACTTGGGGATGGATCTTCCCCACGGGCTGGATTGGCCATACTCAGTACTGAGTGATTGATGATCAGTTGATGTATACATTTTGGGATGGATCTTCCCTGGGCCGGATTGGTCATATACAGTACTGAGTGATTGAGCATTATGAGTGAAACGTGTGAGTATTGAGATCGAGTACTCTAAGAGTGTGAGTACATGAGTTCATCTCTAAGATACATTGCATTGATATGCACGGATGATATACATGCATAGAGATGTATTTTCCTTATGATGTATGGTATTACGTCATTCATGACATCTCTCACATTTTGTCATGGGAATAATGATGCATTTTACACTGGTTATCTGGGAAGAAAATGAAACAACTTATTTATTGCTGAAGGGATTTTTGGGAAAAATTACTGTTTTCGAACTTACTCATATTTTTGGCAACTTCGGCAAATGACTTGGGTTTTCACTAATGTACTTGAAAGACCGAGCTATTTTCAGAAACCATGATTAAGTTGAGTATTTTATCTCCTAGTTACTTCTTTATTTACTTACTTTACATTGTTACGGACTGTTGTTACCTACCTGACCTTTATTCCAGCCCGTCACTAATTTCAACCTAAGGTTAGGTTTGTTACTTATTGAGTAAATGGGGTCGGTTGTACTCATGCTACACTTCTGCACCTTGCATGCAGATGTTGGATGTTGACGTTGCTGTGTTCGACGGGAGCTGGATTTGAAGATGTACATACGTTCCGATTCTAGCTGCCTCTTGTTCATGGTAGCCTTAGATTCATAAAAATATATTTATGTACCTTTCGAATAGATGATGTATTTATTTCATACAACTTTTGTAAATTCTAATATTAGAAGCTCATGATTTGTACTACCAGTTCTTGGGAAATTTCTTGTATAAAAGTAGTTGTGTTATTATTTCTTTTCTTAATAAATCTCCTTAAATTGGATAGTTTTTAATTTTCTTACCTAGCGGGTTGGGTTAGGTATCAGCATGACTAGGTGGGCTTTGGGTCGTGGCACTCTGCCACTTAAGCTTAAAGGGTGCAAATAATTCTACTTAATTATAGCTTTGAGGGTAATAGGACCCCCACAAAGGTAGAGTGTGTAGTTGGGAATCCAGCTATAGGTTCGAGGGTATTTATGCATTTTTTTCTTTAAATTATAATTTACCTGTGTATTATATTGGTTATAGTGCAAGCCAAGTTTAAACTGATACTTGTTGCCAATAGAGAAAAATATCAAATCAATGTTTAATATTATAATTAGTTTGATGAATTTGAATTATTGAAAGCTGTAAATGTTGTGTATCGATAGAGTGGTGTTTAATATCTTGTGATGTCTGAAGATAGATAAAATAAAGGATAGTTCAGTGCACAAAGCATTCCGGTGACTACTTGCTATAATCCTCCCTTTTCTAAACAAAATGTTTATTCCTCCCTTTTGTTGCTATACGTCGTGGATGTGATGGAGCCAATTTTCTTTACTCTAGAACTCAAAAAATTTCTATTCATTTTGTTAGTTTTCTATTGTGTATGTGCTATTTGCAGACATTGTTATCGTTATGTAGCGCTATTTTTTTCTTCTCTTTCTAGTGGCATGTTCTTCTGATGAAATGGTCTGGTTAAATATTAGTTGTAACTCTCTCTGGAGATTCATATGTACTAAGTCATTACTTTGTGTCATGGCTTGTAAAATGATGCAAATGGAATTCCATTTGCTGAACTTTTATAGTATCTGCTACTTATATGCTCTTGTCAAGATGCTATTTTTAGTGTTGACTATTCTTTGATGTGTATTGATAACATTGCTTTAAACAACGGAAAATGTCTAAAAATGCCACTCAACTTTCAGAAATGGTCTATCCATATCATTCGTTAAAAAAATGCTCATTTCATGCTACACATTTGGCCTATCCATGCCATTATAACAATTGACTTTCTACAAATCATGATAACATACTAGTTAACTCTCTGCTGCTATGGGATAATCACTCAGATATTGTAGAAAATTGCCTTTTGGTAGAATGGGAGTATGCCTTTTGGTAGAATGAAAATATCCTTAATGTCTTTCGAATAGGAAAGCTTGAATCCCCATAATTCTCTCAAGTTCTCTAACTTTGAGTCCTCTGCTACCTTTATTGGTTTATCTGTATCCAAATCAAAGAAAGAACAATCATTTATGACCAACACTTGCAACTTTACAAGATTCCAAATTGTCAGTAGTAGTATCAATGGCGATCCATCGTTTTTCACCTTCAGAATTTTCAGATTCCAGAAATTTAGAAAAGTCGAAGGCAGAGATTTAATTTTTGTCTTAATATTTAAGAACCTCAAATGAACCAATGTACATATTTCATTCAGCAAATAATCATCCACCTTGATAAAAGAGCCGTACAATTCCAATACTCTAAGAAACCTTAAGTGTCTTAGGTGACATATATTATAAAGACTATTGTCCAGCTCGTGCCCATATATCAGCAAAGAATAGAGGTGTTTACCAGAATGCCTTTTCTTTTTTGAATCGAATATGACAAAATCATTATGCCCAAAGTCCTCATCATCATAAAGAAATTGCATTTCACGTGGCATAAGATCTGAAGAAGAAGAAGATGATAGAGCATTTGAACTTATCTCGTCAAACAACTTTTCCTCTCTTGCTTTTAACAAACAAAAGTGATGCACAAGATCATGAATTTGGTAAGTCCGACCGTTGCCTATTTCATTGAAAGAAATAACCAAACTACTGGAAATTAAATTTTCCAAATAAACATCCATCACTTCTTCCACATTGTTCGTCTCTGTGTGTTCGACAAATCCTTTGGCACGCCATAATCTTTTCATATGATCGGCTGGAATTTTTGTGTCCTTCTCATAACTTGCAAGGTCAAGTAAGCACGGGTTTACATGATCAGGTAAATGGTCATAACTTAATGCTATAGCCTTCATCACGTCCTCTTCTTTCTGGAAAATGAAGGAATGCAAACTATTTAGAACTTCAAGCCAAACAGACTTTTTATTTTCCTTCCGAGCAACGACTCCAGCGATCAGATGAACCACCAAAGGAAGACCTTTACAATTTTTGACTACTCTTTTACCAACATCCAATAGTTCATCTGGCAAACTTTCTTTTCCAAAAACCCTTTTCTGTAATAACTCCAAACTTTCTTCTTGTCTTAGCGATCGAAGGTCAAGAGGATCACTGTGGCATTGTGCATGCAAAGCCACTTTCTTATCTCGAGTTGCCAAAATAATTCTACTTCCTTTCCTAGCTTCAGGAAAAGGTCTTGCTAACTCATCCAATGTTGCAGTGTCCCATAAGTCATCTAAGACGATAAGGAACCTCTTTCTAAACAAATTTTTCCGTAGCTCATCAGCAACATCTATATTCTCTATGACTTTCAAAGTTGAGCCTGTAACTTGATTAAAAATATTCTCCAATAACTTTTTCTCGACATATTTTGTATCGACTGTACACCATGCACGGATATCGAAATGACTAGAAACTGACTTATCATTATACACTTTGTATGCCAAAGTAGTTTTACCCGAACCCGGAATACTAGTGATCGAAATGACATCTAGCATTTTTAGTCCACTGGTGAGCTTACTAATTATCAAGTATGTCTCCTCTTTAAAACCTACGATTAATTGATCAGTTTTTAATGGCTTCCTTTCAACATGCTTGGTGAGAGAGTTCACAATAATGAGGCACTTGTTCTTGAGAATCTTCTCAAGTAAATTAGAGATCTTTTCTTTGATAAGCTTGATCTTTTCTATGACAAAGGGAAGTGAGAAAATAAGAAGTAAGAGATCATTATCTCGTACAATAATTGAATCAATGACATCTTTTGCCTCGTATGCCAAATCTGAAACACGTGCCCAAAGATCTTTATACAATTCTTGTTCAACATTCACAAAGATAGATCTTATCAATTCTAGATCTTCTTTCACTAGTCCAATTTCTTCTTTTATCAAAGCAACTGAATAAGCATTGGAATTGAGCAAATCATTTAAGTGTATAAGTAGAAGATGGATGAACAAGGGTCCATCACTCATGGGGAAGTCTACCGACAGATGCGCGAATTGCACTGGTCATTGTGCAGAATGCCCTCTAAGCCAGTCAATCAATGGAGGGACTNCTACCGACAGATGCGCGAATTGCACTGGTCATTGTGCGGAATGCCCTCTAAGCCAGTCAGTCAATGGAGGGACCGGGGCGCTAGGTATTTTCTTTCTTCTGGCCGTAGGTGTGATCAATGCCATTGAGCTTCGGTACTCTAAAATAGTAGTCGGAATTCGCTTCTGAGTGAGCTTCCTTCCTTATGCTCTGGTCTGACCTTCACGAACAGCTTTCTTTCAGCTACCAACTTCAAAGACGTGTCTGGGGCTTTTAAGTAAAGATGTTTGAGATCTCCTTTCATGAGTTCAATAGTTTCGATCAAGTCCAAAGTTACATGGTTTTTTTCGTTAGTACTCTCTTCATTTCTTGAATTCTCTTCTAGGTCACGAACAAGAGTTGATACCTCCCTGATAAGTTCTCCAACATGTGCTAAGAGATCAAACAATTTGTTATAATGAATAAACTCCTTGGGCATATTAATTAGAACCATTAATAGGAACTCTATCTTGACATGAATGTTTCGAGCCCCTGAAGTTCTAGTGGTAATAACATTTACCATGTTCTCTTGTAGATGAATGAGATATTCTCGAAGAATGTCCGGAGAGGTTTCTAAGAGCTGCTCAATGAAGCATCCAACTTCTGCTGATGTTGAATATTTCAAATTTGTATGACATATGTGTATAACCTCCACTTCAAATGGAATAACCTTCAAGAGGGTATGTGTTGGCTTTGAGAGTCCATAGTCTCTATCAATTAATTCACCATACAAAAGGAAGCATCCTACTCTCTCAGCCATTTGTTGAAACTGAGGTAAGACATTTTTAATAATCTCATGCTCAACGCAGCCATTCATTTTCAATCGATGGAAATCCCTTATGTTGCCACATACAATATGAAGAATCTCATATTCAGTCACTAAGGGATAACATTTTTCAACACAATACTTGGATAGGTGTTGGAGATTCAGGAGGAGAAAGTCCAACTGCTCCTCTGTCATGGCGGCACTTGATTTAGCAAGATTGTCAATTTTTTTGCGAATAGCAGAAAATGATACCTGCCAAAAGACCAAATATTAATCAAATTTTCAAAGCCACATATCTATCATGCAATATTTTACTCTATACAGGCAACTAAAATTGCTGCAAAAAAATTTCAAAGAACAATATGTTTTGTAGATTTTTCGTTTGTCCCAAAAAAGAATCACCTTTCTATATATAGAAATAATTTATCGTTATATTTTTTTAACCCTAATTTATAGCAATATAAATATCTAAGTCTTGTTTTAGACTACACGTTTAAAAATCTTTCTTTCTTTCTTAAACTCTATGCTAGTCAAATGGTGCCACATAAATTGGGATGGAGGAAGTACTATTTATGAATCTTAGATAGAACTTGAAAAAAGAAATTCTTGATTGCAATAGTGTTGAATAGAGTGCGATCTTGAAAATAGGCATTAGAGATTGATTTGCGAATAAGGACACAAATATACCTATTCGCAGTGGTTAGCCATGTGATGACCCGATAGGTCATTTCATGTTTCAAAACCTAATTCTGTGTTTCGAAGTTTTAAATATCTCATTTTAGCCTTTCTCGACTTGCGTGCATGATCCGGGTATTTTTTCGAAAGGCTTATATATTAAAAATTGATAATAATAAGAATTTTTGCCTTAAAACTTCTTTTGAGTTGACTACAGTCAATGTTTGAGAAAACGGACCCGGAACCATATTTTGATGATCCCGGTGGATCCGTATTGTAATATAGGACATGGGCGTATGCCCGGAATCGAATTTCGAGGTCCCTAAATCGAAATATGAATTTTTAACGAAAAATTATAAGTTTGAAAGTTTAATGATTTTAAGAATTGACTGATGTTTGGTCATGTTGATACTTAATTGGTATTCTGGTTCCGAAGTCTGGTACAGGTCCATTATTATATTTATGACTTGTCTATGAAATTTGGTGAGAAACGGAGTTAGTTTGACGTGATTCGTACGTTCGGTTGTGAAAATAGAAGTTTTAAAGTTTTCTGGAAAATTTCATTTCATTTGGTGTCCAATTCATAGTTCTAAGTGTTATTTTGGCGATTTGATAGCGCGAGCAAGTTCGTATGATGTTATATGACTTTTGTGCATGCTTGGTTTGGAGCCGCGAGGGCTCAGGTGAGTTTCGAATAGGCTACGGAGTGTTTTGAACTTAGAAAACCTAGCACCTGGTGTATCAGATCTGCAGACTTCGCATTTGCAAGGTCTGGCTCGCAAATGCGAGTCTCGTATTTGCAAAGAGGCCAGCGCATTTGCGAGCAGTGGGCTGGGGGGAGGACTTTCGCAATTGCAAAATTGTGGTCGCATGTGCGATCCATACTAGTCTGCATTTGCGAACACTTGTTCGCATTTGCGAAGGCAGTAGAGTTGGGGAAGCTTCGCATTTGCGAAGAATTTCTCGCAATTGCAGGATTAGAAATTGCGAACCCCTTGTCACATTTGCAATATCTGCAGCTGCGTAAAACTTAAGTTAGAAGGGATTTTCTCTCATTCATGAAATTTTCAAACCTAACCCCAGAGGCGATTTTTCCAAGACTCATTCTTCCCCAAATTATTGGTAAGAGATTTTAACCCATTTTCTTTCAATATTTCATTACATTTCTCAAGTTTTAAGCCTAAAATCTAGTTTTTTCATGGTGAAAATTTGGGGGTTTGGGTAGAATTAGGAATTTTTGAGACATTAGGATTTAGACCCGGTTGGGGTGAATGGGTAATCGGATTTTGGTCCGAATTTCGGGTTTGGATCAAGCAGGCCTGGGAGTTGACTTTTTTAATAATTAACTAAATTAAATTTATGCAATCGTGGGTGATTCCTAAGGCTTATTATGAATATTTTGGTTAGTAATTTGCTAGATATTGTTGGTTCGGAGGCTTGTTTGAAAGGCAAAGTTGTGGTTGAGCTTTGAGTGGTCTTTGAAGCGAGGTAAGTGTTGTGTCTAATCTTGACTTGAGGAAATTAGGAACCCTCATACTATGTGTCATGTGAATTTTATGTGAGCGGCATATATGCGAGGTGACGAGTGCTTATACGCTGACGAATTATCTATTTTCCTTGATTTCTCGCTTTTCCTTAATTATTTCCATCCCTGTCTCAACTGTTAGATGCTCTAAATGCTTTTCATACTTAACTACTACTTTTTAATCAATATCTCCTCCAGTTAATGATGTTAGCTCTTCCATAGTTTCATGATTCACCGCTATTTGCTTAAATTGACTTACATGCACCTTCTAATTTGTTAATTACTAGATTGGTTTCGATGTGCAGTATTACTCGTGTAGATTTCTATATTGTACAAGGTTTCCTTTTGGTTCAGTTTGGTATTTATTGTTCGCAAAGGTTTTGTGGTTTGACTGTGCATTGAGTATTTGGTACTGATATGATGGGATCGGGTTGCACGCCGCATAAGGTGTAATATGGGTGGATTGATATAGTGGAATAAGGGTAAATATGTATTATACAATGGGATCGGGTTGCACGCTGCAACAGGTGGAATAAGGATGGATTGATATGGTGAAATAAGGGTGAACTATGATACTTATATTATTATATGGTGGGATCGGGTTGTGCGCCGCAACATATTTAATTATATTATCTCTATTATTGATGTTATTATGATGAAATAAGGGAGGATTATGTGTTGCATGGTGGGATCGGGTTGCGCGCCACAACAACCTATGTGTTTCTATTTCCTGAGCTATGTTTGGTTTTCAGTGTTCTCATTTGAAATGCTAAGGATCAGTAATTCTGGACAATGCTAGTTCATTTCTTGAGGTTGTAGTTATTGTTTATAGTTGACTATTAATCTTGTTCTATGTTTCCATTTTCTATCATTATTATATACTGCGTACAAGTTGTATTATAGGTGACCTGCCTTAGCCTCGTCACTACTTCGTCGAGGTTAGGCACGGCACTTATAGAGTACATGGGATCGGTTGTACTCATACTACACTATGCACTTCTTATGCAGATTTTGGAGTCGGTCCTAGCAGCGGCTACTAGAGAGCTCAGATTGGATAGCCTGTAGAGACTTGAGGTACAGCTACATAACGCCCTCAACTCCTAGAGTCCCTTTCTTGTTTTTATTTAGCTGTGTAACTTCTTTTCAGACAGCTTTATGTTATTTCAAACTCTTATATGTAGTATTCTAGTAGCTTGTGCACTTCTGAAACCGGATTCAGGGATTTGTAGCAGATGTTTACAGATTTAGCTTCCGCATTTATAATTTGGATTATTGCAGTTTAATCAGTTCTTCTTCATTAATTAATTTTAAATTGTTAAAAATCCTAAATTATTCTAACGTTAGCTTATCTAGCAAGTGAAATTTTAGGCGCCATCACGGTCCCGATGGTGAAAAGTTTAGGTCGTGACACGTTGGCTTCAGAGGACTAAGTTACATAGGTCTCACGAGTCACGAGCAAACTTAGCAGAGTCTGGCGGATCGGTACGAATACGTTTATACTTATGTTTTAGAGACTATGGAGTTAGGTACAGTTTCGCTTCAATTCTTCTCTATGGTGCGATTTTATTCTATAATTGCTAATTAAACCCTTCTATTCTTATTCTCTCGCAGATGGCGAGAACACGCACCGTATCTTCAGCTGGACAGCAGCCAAAGTCCTAGCCGCAACTCCTACGAGGGGCAGAGGTTGAGGCCAAGGTCGAGCCAAGGCCCGACGTAGGGGTAGCGCTTAGCCAAGAGCTCGAGCAGCGGCACCAGTGGTGGAGCCTCAGGTAGATTTTGATGAGAAGGTTCCATCCAGACTGTGCCTGTCAGACCACCTCAGGTGCCGGGGGGTTCATCGCCACCCCAGTACTTCAGGATGCTTTGGTCTATTTGGTGGGCCTTATGGAGGGTGTGGCCCAGACCGGTACATTTCCTATGGCACCATCCGTCTCTCAGGCTGGGGGAGGAGCACAGACTCCCGCTACCCACACTCCGGAGCAGATGGCTCCCTATTATCAGACTCCAGCAGCTCCACTAGTTGGGGTAGTTCAGCAAGCTGTTGCGGCACAAACTGGTGGTAGTCATGCCATGACTTCTGAGGGCTTATTGAGATTGGACAAATTTACCAAACTCTTCCCAGATCACTTCAGTGGAGCATCTTCTGAGGACCCACAAGATTATCTTGAGCGCTACTATGAGATGGTGCGGAACATAGGCATAGTGGACATCAATGGGGTCGACTTTGCTGTATTTCAGATTATGGGTTCTGCCAAGAGATGGTGGAAGGCTTATGTATCTACCAGACCAGCTGAGTCGTCTGCTCTTACTTGGGACCAGTTCTCTCTGGGGCTATTTATTCAGATCGGATATCTGAAATCCGAACCGAACCATTCAATTTCTGATTTCGGATTGGATCGGATTTCGGATTGTGTTTATTAAAATTTCATATTATGGATCAGATTTGGATTGGTATAATATAATCTGATTCGATCCGACATTCGAAATTATTAGGCAATGTATAAATACTACACTTTAATTCAGATAGTCAATATTTCCTTTACGTTTTCCTCCAAGTTATTACCTTTACAATTGCTAGATTTAACTATATTGGCACCATAGTACTCTCATAATTGCATAAACATGAATTTTTCTTAATGTGTTGCCTCTTTTACAAAGAAAATATACTAATTAGTTTGCAACTTTGAGGCATAATAATACGATCCAAAATCCGATCTGATCCGATCCAAACTTTAAAATTCGATCTGATCCGATATAATTCTGATCAGATTCGGATTGCATTTTCTAGAATCCGAAATTCAAATTCGAAATATGCTAAATCCTATCCAATCTGATCTGTGCACAGCCCTAATTCTCTCAGGTATTTCTTAAGAAGTTACTTTCTATCACTCAGAGAGAGAGAGCTACCACAGGCAATTCGAGCACCTCCAGCAGGGCAGTATGACCGTCACCCAGAGGTAGAGTTCAGGCGTCTAGAGGTGAAGGTCAGGTCGTTAGAGGTAGAGGTCAGGCTGCTAGAGGTGAAGGTCAGCCAGCAGAGGTCTTCCTAGGGATGTAGCTCAAAGTGGTAGGGCCCAGCCCCGATGTTATGCTTTCCCAGTCAGGTTAGAGGCTGAGTCATCCGATGTTGTCACTACAAATACTGTTTCAGTTTGCCATAGAGATGCTTCAGTTCTATTTGATCCGGGATCTACTTATTCCTATGTGTCGTCCTATTTTGCTTTATATCTGGTTGTGCCTCGTGATTCTTTGAGTGTTCCTGTGTATGTGTCCACACCTATGGGAGATTCTATTGTTGTAGATCGTGTCTATAGTTCATGTGTGGTTATCATCGAGGGTCTTGAAACTAGCTTAGATCTTCTACTTCTCGATATGGTTGATTTTGATGTCATTTTGGGTATGGATTGGTTGTCACCTTATCATGCTATATTGGACTGTCATGCCAAGATGGTGACCTTAACCTTGTCGGGATTACCTCGATTAGAGTGAAGAGGGACTCCTGGCCATTCTACCAGCAGGGTTATCCCTTATGTGAAGGCTCGACATATGGTCGAGAAGGGGTGTCTAGCTTAATTCGCTTATGTACGTGATTCTAATGCGGAGGTTCCTTCCATGGACTCAGTACCAGTCATTCGTGAGTTTCCAGAGGTGTTTCCCGTAGATTTTTCGGGGATGCCACCCGATAGAGATATTGACTTCTGTATTGATCTGGCTCCAAGAACTCAGCCCATTTCTATTTCGCCATATCGTATGGCCCCGTCAAAGTTAAAAGAATTGAAAGATTTGCTCGATAAGGGCTTTTTTAGACCTGGTGTCTCGCTTGGGGTGCGCCGATGTTGTTTGTGAAGAAGGATGGATCGATGAGGATGTGAATAGATTATCGGCAATTGAACAAAGTCACCATCAAGAACAAGTATCCATTGCGAGAATTGATGACTTATTTAATCAGCCTCAGGGTGCAAAGTGTTTTCGAAGATTGATTTGAGGCCTTGCTACTATCAGTTGAGAATTAGAGCATCTGATGTCCCTAAGACAGCATTTCAAACTAGGTACAAGCATTCTGAGTTTCTAGTGATGTCATTTGGGCTGACAAATGCCCCAGCAACATTCATGGTTTGATGAACCGGGTGTTAAGCTTTACCTGGATTCCTTTATGATTGTGTTTATTGAGGATATTTTGATCTACTCCTGAAGTCAAGAGGAGCACGAGCAACATCTTCGAATCGTACTTCATACTTGAGAGACATCCAGTTATACGCTAAGTTTTCAAAATGCAAGTTTTGGTTGAGCTCAGTCGCTTTCTTGGTGCACGTTGTATTAGTAGAGGATATTCTGGTGGATCCTAAGACGATTGAGGTAGTTCAAAACTGGCCTAGACCCACATCAGCTATGGAGATCCAGAGTTTCTTAGGATTGCCGGG